GAGAAATCGAAGGCACAGAATAGGGAAGTGCACTTAAATAAGAAAATAATACCAATACGTGAAGAAAGTAGAGAAAAGAAAATCGAAGTACGAAGATGCGAGTTACTCAGGAAAATGGAAAGGTTTCGTGTTGCCACCCAAGAGCGTCAAGTTGCCGCTCAAACCCCTTAACCGTAGATTCCCTGATAACACTTTCCGGAAGCTTGTTCCAGCGTTCGATGACTCTGCGTGATAGCCGGATTTCCGCCCTAATCCGATCGGACCGCGGTTTGTCCAGCTTCAACGAATGACCGCGTAGAACAGACAATCTAGCGGGACTGAATAGCCAAGATAAATCTGGACCAACCTTCCCAGTCAAGATACGGTAGGTTAGGATTAGGTCTCCTCTAAGCCTTCGGTAGTGCATTGAATTCATTCCCAAACTTAGTAGACGCTCTGGGTACGTCCGTCCCCGTAATCCCTCGACTAACCTAGTACCCACTCGTAAAACCCTCTCTAGCTCCATTTTGTCGCGGACGAGGCAGGGCGGACAAGCCTGGACGCAGTATTCCAGATGAGGCCGAACGAAGCCGAGAACAGCCTCGTAAAGATGCCGCCCGTCAAGACTCCGAAAGAACGTCGGATTAACCACAACATGCGGAAACCCCTGCTTGCGGCCTTCTTCCAATTGTCGCCGGAGTGTAAAGCCGAAGAGTGTACGACGCCTAGGTCAACCTGGCTGGATACACGGGGGAGTTCGACCCCACCGACCAAGTACTTCGCAGGAGGACAACCTCCTCCAATTCGAAGAATGGAGCACTTTGCCTGATTTATGGGCAGTAACCATAAAGTAGACCAGTCCCAAACTTTATCCAATGCTCGCTGAATAGCTTCGGAACCCCCAGGAACATCAACAATGTTCCACAGCTTCAGGTCATCAGCAAATAGCAGCGGCACGCCGCTGAGGACAGACTGCCTAAATGACAGACCCCGGCCTACCCGTACACACTGTTCTCTATCCTCCAAGAATGCAGTCACCATTCTGAATTTGCTTCTTATGCATTAGTGTCGTATCCGTATATTTTACTCTGGAAATTTTTATCCAGTACTTATCGTTCAATTTAACATCTTGGCCGTCGCATCATCCAAGAGATCCGTATTGATGAAGCTGAATCCCTGTGGCACTTCTTGCAAAATAGTTGGGCATGGAATCAAAGCTGTTACATGCCTTGTGTGTCGTGTGGATTTCCACATTTCGTGTATTTGTCTGTCATTTGATCATTTTAAACAACCGCGTGAAAATCAGCATGACTTTGTTCAAATATTGTGCAAGAAATGCCAAGCCACAAACAGCCAAGAAGCCGAGCGAGCCTACAACACGGTCAAAAACGTTCCATAGGGATGTGCTGCGTGGGTTCATCCAAGCAAGCGGAAACCCAGCCACCTCTATGTTCGAACGAGCCCACGTGCCCACCGGTTGCATCCTCTCCAGAGCGATATCCACCCGTTGCTGGAGACTCAGCTGGCGGATACTAAAATACCGGTGTGCGATAGCCCAGGCGATAAAGGCCAATGGAGAATGCAGTGAGGCAAAGAAGCGAGGACAACTGCTAGCAATCAGCGGCGTTGTAACCTTGCGATGTTTCACGCGCCTGAGTCGACGGATGCCAGTCCTCAGGATTGTTATGACCACGTGGCTTTTCTGCACAGCATAGTTGATAGGCTTTTCGACGTGAATGAACAGGTGTTGGGGGTGTAGCAAATCAACCATCTTAGAAACAAAAAGAAGAGGAAGTCCCGGCCTCTGCGAATCACGTTTGCTAATGCAATGAGTTGGAGGCTGATACTATCCTGCCTCGGTAGGTTAAAAGGCCTAAAGATCCGTATTCGACCCGATTTGGACCCGTCGGATAGAGAGAAACTGAAGTCCGCTTTCGTGGAGTTGAAGCGGCGGACTGATAGTGAAGAAACCAGTATCCACATTGTAAATTTTCCGGTAGTTCCCCGGGTCCACCGAACCCGGATCAACAAGTTGATGACGCTTCGTGCGCGTCCGTCAGTTCCTACCTCGACCTGGGCGTAGCCTTCACAAATGTTTGTAGTTTAATGAACTAACGTGACGATGTATTTCACTTCGTTGCCTCTCGTCGTCCAGAAGTACTAATACTGGACGAAACCTGGTTAAATCCTGAGGTCACTACCCAGGAAGCCCAGATTAGTGGCTACTCGTGCTTCCGGTGCAACAGACTATCAAGCGATCGAGGCGGTGTGCTGTGCGGGAGACTGGTACACACTAACCTCAGCGAAGAGGACCTGTGTGAACAGTTACGGTGCTCGATCCGCCTGAGACAGGGTGAACTGTTTGTGGGTGCGGCTTATCGCAGCCCACGAAGTCGATGTCTGGATTGGTTGCCTCATGTCAGAAACTACATGAGTCTGCCCCACTTCTTGCTTATGGGTGATGTTAACTTGAATCGAATTTGGTGGCCTGAGGTCGAACATCTCCCCGGTCAATGGGAAATCGAGGCGCAGTTTGCTGAGATGGTATTTGAAACTGGGGCAGCACAATATGTCTGCCAACCGACGCGCGTTATGCCGCATTCCGCTCCATCGAGTCTGGACCTACTACTAATCAGTTGCGAGGAACGCGTACATGAGATTCATGTCCTGGAGCCTCTGGCAGCTAGTGACCACTCGGTGGTGTTAGCTAGCTTAGAGCTGCTGCCGTCCTACTCGCGTCCGCCAGAGCTGCTCTACAATTATTGCAAGATCGACTTCGATGGCCCCATCGAGACGCCATTAAAGTGGACTGGTCGCTGCCACAGTATTCATCTGTTGAAGGCTGTTGGTCTGCTATAAAAGAGGGTGTGCAATCGTTGTGCGCTCGTTTCGCACCCTTCAGTTATCAGAAAGCTGAACCAGTGAAGCCACATTTGTACGGCAGATAGTATTGTCGATAGGTTCGATGGCGACTTTTATTGTGGTATGCGTTCCTTGTGTCTGGCTCTGCCGGCGAGTATAAGGCGTACAAAAAGCTGCGAAATCTTTGCTACATCGTGAAGGCGTCAGCAATCCGAAGAAGAGCTTGCAACCTCAGTGAAGACGGAACCCAAGAAGTTTTTGCTTACGTTAAACGGCATCAGAGGCCCACAAGTGACATAGCTGTGTTAGTGGGCATTGGCGGACAGCCTGTGACCTCCAGCGTTGAACGTGCGTCCGCATTGACGGAGCACTTCACTTTCCTATTTACAAGTGGGCATTCACCCATGCCGAGTTCGACGTGTGCAGTCCCAAGTGAACTTGAGGGTTTTGATTGCGGTGTGGAGGATGTCCGCAATCTACTCGCCAGTCTTGATGACACGAAATCTGCCGGACACAATGTACTTCACCCGCTAATTTTGAAGTCCTTATCGGCCATCATCTTGCTTGCCGCGACGGATCTGTTCAACAGTCGCTCTCCGAGGGTGCATTGCCTAGCGACTGTATGTGCTCGGTAGTGAAGCCGATTCCTAAAGGCGGAGACTCACGCAATGTCGACACTTACCGGTCTATTTCTCTCACCTCTGTTTTGGCGAAGATGCTGGAGAAGGTTGTGAAAAAGGGTCTTCTCCATCTGCTGGATTCGAAAAATCTCCTAACGCCGGTACATCACGACTTTTTGGATTGCTGCTCGTGCATCACCAATCTGCTGTTGACGCGGGAAGAATGGTGACAAGCATTGAACCGAGGGAAGTCAGTGGATGGTATCTACATCGATTTCAGTAAAACTTTCGATATAGTGAACCATGAGGTCCTGCTCCACAAGCTGAAGATGTATGATGTTGGTGGCGCACTGCACCAGTGGATCAGTGACTTCCTTATTAGAAGATGACGAGTACAGGTGGATGACCACCTAACGGAATGGTACCCGTCCACTCGCGGTGTACCCCAAGACGCAGTAATGGGGCCCATTTTGTTCTTGATCCACATCAACGAAGTACCTCAGCTTCTTTGCTCGCCCTACGTATTGTTTGCAGACAACCTGAAGATTTGGAGGATTGTTGATTCTCCCGGCGACTGTGACGTCCTTCATCAGGACATCGACCGCCTACCCCGGTGGTCTACCGTAGTTGGTCTACCGGTCAATATCAAATCCTCGTTTATGAGCCTGGTGGGAGGTGGTAATGGGCGTGCGTACACCGTGGCAGGCCACCCGCTGCATCCAACCAGTTCCGTAAAGGATCTCAGGCGTACTCTCGAGCTGTGATCTGAAGTCTGTCGATGACACGAACAGACTGAACACAAACGGACGACGTCTGCTTAGACGCAGTTTCTGCTCTGGGTCTGAAGAGATTGTTACTCGCCTGTTCTCTTTCATGATAAGACCGGTGCTTGAGTACGGCTCACCCGCCTATTGTCCCATCACAATAGATGAGGTGCAGAGACTGGAACGGGTCCAGCATGTAGCTTCCGAGCTCATCTCCATTTTACGGAATACGAGGACGGATGTAGAAGACTAGAGCTGTATACCCTGTCATATCATCGGCTTCGAGTTGATCTCATTACGACGCACCGCATACTGCACCTGGGCCAAAACCCTACGTTGAAGCCGCTGCTGCACGTTCTCGCAACTAGCAGCACACGCGGACATCGATACATAGTATTGGTACCGGATTTAAAGCGCATCGCTCACCCTCTATGCTTCGAGTGTCGAGTGGTGAAATATTGGAACAAATTGCCGGAGACGCTAGTCGAGGCGAAATCGGTGTCGGAATTTAAGAGATTTCTTGACGCGCATTTTGCGGACTACAGGTATTGTGAGCGTTTCGCACTCGGATAAGATGTAGTGCAGCCACAATCTGCTGCCACCGCGCAGGAATCAGCGAGCTGAATCCGCGCATGTGACCGATCCACCTACGATGGAGTAACACAGCTTTTTATCTTCTCGCTCTCTTTTCTCAGTATTCAATTTTTCGACTTCGTGTTGTGTGGTCTCATTCTTTTCCACGATGAGAGACTTGCACTGTTTTACTGTTTTACAGGTATTTGTGATCAGGGAATAGACGCTATCTTTCGATATTTCAGTCAAGGTGAGTTCTGCTTATGTTTTGTTACCTGCTGTTGCTGACCTTATTAGTCGAATCGCTCGATTAAATTTGCTACCTGTGCGCGAAAGGTGTTCTCTTGCTTTTTTACTAGTGGTTTTTCCGTTCATATATTCTACCTTAGTACCTGACGGACTAAATGTGCGTCTCATGCCTTTTTCCTCTTTTATTCTTGCTAATTTTCTTACTTAATCCGATGATTCAATCAAGGTGTAGGCTAAATTCCATCTTCCTTGGTCTCTGGGACTATTCTTCCATTTCATTCCTTATCTTTCGCTCGTGGTTTGTTTTTGGATGAAATCTCCCCTCCTTTCCTCTATAAGTTTTTTTTGCGCATCTGCTGCACGGTAACGTCGCACTAAAATGAATTCGAATCTCAACAGATTCGAAGAAAGTGCCTTCTACTAAATGTTTCTAATGTTTCTATCGTCCTGCGCTTTTTTGTAGATGTGTGGTATTTGGCTAATAGGGTTTAGCTATCTTGTACTTTCCCAAAGGTTTGAACAGCCTATTCTGTGTACATGACGAACATCCGTAAATTCCTTTTCGAATCTTCTCTTTTGCCATATAAACTTTTCGGTCCGATGAGAGTTTACTCGAAAAGAATTCTTAACCCATCACTCTTTTGGTCCTGTTTTTGGAAACATGGGAATGCTTGTTCTCATGCTCACACCCTCCAGTCGATATCATCTCTGCTCGCTTTTTGGCATACTTTCATTTTCTGCTGCCGTTCCGTGGCATTTTTAAATCAAGTCAATAAATTGCTTTGTGCACTCAGGACGTGCGAATATTCAGCTGTAACACGCACGCCTTCAGCATTGTAACAAAAATGGTATGATATAAAGACCTAAATAGGTGGATTATTAAATGGCTAACATAATATCCTTATAGTTCAAATTGGCTGGTTAAATCTCGGACGACTTTGTTGGGGTGTAGCAAAATTCGCGCGGACGGTAACCTCCTGTTTTGGTATGTTTGGACTTTTGTTTGGTTAACGAGGTTGACACACATTTCTGCAAATCGCTCTGAAGGGAGTCACTTGTGTGAACAACTATCATAACCCCTAACCTCTCGCAAGGTCCAACATGAAACAGTAGGTCTTCTTCGATCACTTCGTCAAAGCAGAGCGAGTACATTAAGAAATAAATGGTTTATTCTTGGTAGTGCGAGACGCGTCTGCGAAGGCATGATCATAGTAATAAAAACACGTATGATCGATAACTGATAAAACGTGTTACAAGTTAACTATTACCATACTGGTCACCATACGAGTGATTGTCCGCCACTGTAATCGTATGCTTCCTGCGCAAATCAATAACATGGGGTGCTGGAACGTACGCATCCTACTCGACCGGCACACGAGTGAGGGCTCGAGCGACCCACTGCACTGGTCGCGATGGAACTCGCACGCTTCGGAATCGACATTACCCCACTCAGGAAGACTCGGTTCACTGACTAAGGCTAGGTGCATGAGGCCAGTGCTGGGTGCACGTTCTGCTGTGTCGGGAACGCCACCTCAGCACCACATGAACATATGGTCGTATTTCCACTATCCGGCCGCCTTTTTGTATTGCGGCACATTAGCTGAGGTGTGTTTCCCACTGTTGGCTCACGTGTATTGATGCGGACGTCATCTCGGTGGCCGTCATGCACTTGATGAAAGTCGCTCTGATAACACAGATAGGTTTCTCACGTTTTGCAGGACGACCGGCTCGTGAGCACGAACTTCAGGCAGTCGAGGAGACGCGCCGCCGCCTTATGTCTCCCTTCGGCAACACAAGCTTGATCACAAATTGATCACATTGCAATCAGCTTCAGGTGGGGGGGTAGTGTAACGGAATCCAAATTGATTTGGTTCACCTACCTCGACTCAGAGCACGCAATGGTCTGTGCGGACGTCTACTTGTGTTTTGGTGGTTCCTCGTAACTAAAGCACCGTACGCTGATTACCAACAGGCTAGCTAATCACTCTATTCAACTGGCCTATCCATTCTCCTTATCAGATGTGTTTGCTAGTGCTCTATTTGCATATGTCGAACATCACTTGAGTTTCTTGCAGAAAGCATTTCTTTTCTCCGGTCAGTCATTCTGTGGAATCACTGGACGTCTCCCGAGAGGCTGGATCTCTGCCCGATCTTTAGAATTGTTTGACCGTCGCACACATGGCTGAGACGGGATTCTTCCGGAGCTATTCAAGTACGATGGCCAGACAACTGTTAACCAGTTAAGAGCTCTATTCTCCAAATTTTTGGTTTGAAGCAATGGTTCTAAATCATGGGGTGTCAGCGTTCCATCCTCTTAAGACGAGTCGACTATCATACTTATCTTCAAAAGGGGTGCCTGCGCCTTATGCACCAACCACAGAGGAATCAGTCTAATGTCCATCTTAAAATTGTTAGCACCCATTCTACTCCGCAGGCTAACACCAATTTGAGAACTACACTCCCGTAAGGAACAGGCTGCTTTCCGCTCCGGTCGACGGTGTGTGTGGACCACATCTTTACGCTTCGCCAACTCATCGAACAGCGCCACCTGTATCACCATTCTACCATTGTCGACATTTTGAATATCCGAACTGCATTCTTCTCGGTCGATCGGCCTGCATTACTGCACTGTCTGCAAAGTAATGGGTACCCGAAAAGCCTTTCGTCGTCACTAGCGGTGTGCGAAAGGGATGCCCCATGTCCCCATTTCTCTTCAACCTTACGTTTGAGGATGTCATATTAGGCGCTCTGGAAAGTCTCATGGCTTTGGCATAGAGCTTTTTTCAGGCAATCACGCGACTAACTTGATGATACTGACTTGCTCGGTGACGACAAATAGATCATGCAGGCCGTTCTAAACCGCTTGATGATTGAAGCTACCAAGTATGACATGACCTTCGTTCCCTCGAGATGCAAGGTTCTACTCCCGGAACGGCATCCGTCTGCTACCATGCTGATACTTGCAGGCGTGCATCTTGAAGAGGTAGGTACCTTCATATACCTTAAGAGTTGCGTTTTTTGTGACACTAATAGAGAGGTAAGCAGCCAATGTCCAGATACGAGGTCGCGCACAGGCTTACCGAGGAGCACGTGAGCTGTCTGCTGCATGCGAAGGTCACCAGCACGAGCGTGGAACGATCTTCGACTGTTTTGCCAAATTTGGGAATCGGGTGCAAACTGATTGACCAGCAAATACAAGCCCGAGTCAACGGAGGCGAACCATTCTGCCAAATATGGAAAATCCGTGGGACGGAATTAACTCACATTGGCTGAGAGCGCAACGCTTCCACAATTAGTATGTTTCGTTCACCAATAAATAGCATTGACCTATCGTGTAGAATAGACTCCCTGTTTACCGAGCCTTGGCCTTCTGTACCCCGTCGGTTGGTTGGGCGCGTGACTGAGCACTCCTGCGGCCGTAGTGTCGCAGTCGCAGAATAGCAGCAGTGCAGCAGTACGAAGGCAGCTTTACAACAATGGCGACAGGAGTCAGAAGAACCCAAAGATGTCAGTTAGTTTTGAAGAATTGCAGACTCTGTTGCAGCAACCGCAGGCGCAGTTTGAGAAAGCACAGGCCGAATTGATCGAAACTTTGACCAAGAATTTGTCACTACAAGCAGGCTCGATAACAGGAACAAGTGAACGTTGCCCCTCAGCAAAAACCTTGACCCAGCAAGTTTGTGAGTTTCGTTACGATGCCGATGCCGGTATTACCTTTGAATCGTGGTTCCATACATACGAAGACCTGTTTCGCGCTGATTTAGCCGGTGCTTCAGAGGACAAAAGAGTTCGCCTCATGCTGCGGAAACTGGGTGCGGCCGAGCATGAACAGTTTGTGAATTTCATATTGCCGAAAAACAGCACTGATTTAACATTCCATAAAGCGGTTAGCTACTTTGTCCCAGATAGTTAGAGAGCAGTCGTCATTATTCGATATCCGATGCAAGTGTCTGACAATGACCAAGCGAGACGACGAAGACTGGGTTAATTACTCGAGTCGCGTAAATCGTAAGTGTGAACGGTCGCTGTTTCACAAGATGACAGCTGACCAGTACTAGTGCCTTATTTATGTGTGTGGTCTTCAAGCAACCAAAGATGCGGATGCCCGAACAAGAGTACTGAGCAGAATTGAACAAAATCCCGAGATCACACTGCAGGAAGTGACGAACGAATGCCAACGGTTGATGAACTTGAAGCATGATGCTGCAACGATCCAACAGTCATCCATCCAGAGTAGGCAGGACATCATTTGTAGGGTCAGCTGAAGTCCTCAGAAAGAATCGGTTCATGTGAGTTCACCACAAACTCTCTTCTGCTTGTTGGTTTTGCAAGGAATGGCACTTGGGTCGAAACTGCTCGTTCCGAAATCACATTTGCAATCGCTGTGGTAAGCGAGGACACCAAGAGTCGTGTTGTCTTGCGAAGCGACCAACAATAAGCGGAATACGGCGTCGAATCCCGGTGCGCTTCCGATGTCACAACGAGGCCAAAATTGTGACGGCGACTTTCAAGGTTGACAGTGTCAGCAGGCGTTAGTTTACAATGTTGAAGATCAATGATAAAGAAGTTAAGCTACAGCTGGATACTGCGTCAGACATCACTTTGATTTGTCGAGACATAGTGTATGCTGGGACGACCACTGCTTGTCCACACAGACCACACAGCACGAAACGCATCCGGTGGTATTTTGAAACTTCTCTGAGAGTTGCATTGTCAGGTCAGTTTCCGTGATCAGCACATTCGTACAACCTATTTTGTGACAGATCAACCAGGATTGGATGGAGAAATTGAAAGTACTTCACCAGTCAGTCAACAGTATATACCAGAAACTACAAGTCGAGAAACCCGCGGAGACGCAGAATATGAACCTAGAACTTTACAGTCAAATTGCAGAACTGAAGCACCGCCACGAAAGTTTGTTCCAACCCGGTCTTGGATGCTTCCGGATAGCCAGAGCTGAGCTGAACTTCAAACTAGACGCCAGACCAGTTTTTAGACCAA